TCCCCACTCATCAAGAACCTCTTTGAGGAATTATCCAACTACAGGTTTTAAAAGAGAGACTTCATCAATAAAAGCTTAAATATAATAATAATAATAACAAAGAAATTACTCAAGAAACCCATCTTCAGCCTTCATATCAAGACTCTTAACGAATAGCCACAGTAAAGTTAGCAAATATGCCTTTAATTTAGAAATTTGTTTGTCGATGTTAGATTCTTTCAATTCGTTCTCTTCTTCCATAGAGCCCATAGACGGCTTTAATTGGCCAAATTCAACAGACAAATCTTTAACTATTTTCAAAACTGTTGCTTCAATAAAATTCTCATGAGTAGTGGAAAGGTGGACTATGAATATAGAGGGAACACTCTCATAGTTGAAGTCAGCATCTTCCTTCATCGATAGTCATCCCAATAAATTTCTTCTAAGATTCAAGCATTAGGCTGACTAATAAATTCAAAGGTGTCTTCGAATACTTCCCTATAATAACTTGGCCAAATGGCAGGTTGAAAGAGGGGGAATTTCATTCAAAAAACTTCAAACACAAAAAAGAACTTCTCGACAAAATTTTTTTAAAAAAAAATTATCCAAAATGGAGTTCAAAGAAGTCATATTTCAGTTGCCCTTAGGTTGACTTCAATGCTTGACCCCTTGGTGATTTGTTGTTCAACAAGTGCCTTGACGACTTCAATTGCCACCTTTGATGAACAAAAATGCAACAACAATATAGACACAACACGAAACAGGCACATGGCTTGTTAATTATTGAAAATATATGACACGTATATGTCGAGATGACATTGGACAAAAATGAGATGTCGAGATGGCACAGAAATGTAATGTGGGTGTAGAAATTGTTGGCATCAAACTTCAATGTTAAGATTGCGGCAAAGTTTAGAGTATAAGCATAAGGTGTCAAAAATTATTTTTTGCAAATCTTTTTGCATAATTTCAATTCATGTTACCTTTAATTTATTCATTTCCTTTCAGCATATTTGATACCAATTTTATTTACACAAATTACGAATATCTAGTTTACCCTTCATTATATTTAACCCCAAACACCTAGGACTATTTTCCTACTATACTCCCATTATCTCTCTACATATGTTATTTTGAAAATATACATTACCACACATCTATCTTACCTTTTTTTTTTTCTTTTTTTCATTGTTATACTTATTTATTACCCAGCATTCAAAGGAATACAACATAGTCAACATATCAGCAATTATAACATGAAGAAAATTAATAGTGCCATTTTTAACTTTGAATATAAAAACTAAGATATGAAACTTTTATCAATCAACAAATTATCAAATGTGCAGTGATTGACCCTAACTTATGGAAATAGCATAGTAATTAAATTCTAACATAAAATGATCAGAATCTTCCTTCATCGATAGTCATCCCAATAAATTTATTCAAAGATTCAAGCATTAGGCTGACTAATAAATTCAAGGGTGTCTTCGAATACTTCCCTATAATAACTTGGCCAAATGGTAGATTGAAAGGGGGAATTTCATTCAAAAAAACTTAAAAAATAAAAAAGAACTTCTCAACAAAATTTTATCCAAGATGGAGTTCTAAGAAGTCATATTTCAATTGCCCTTAGAGCATCTTCAACTGAACGCCAAACGGGCGTATGACGTCGTTCGGTCGCTCCAGCCGAACATGAAATCTTCCTCCATTTACTTCCGGGTGAACAGTGCGACGCCAATATTGACGTTGCACTGTTCACCTATGCTATTTTGCTCTCTCAACCGAAAAAACGCGCGAAAGGGAGAAGGGTCGTTACCTTCACAGAAGCAGATAAAATGGCATTCGAGTGGAGCAGCACCACGTCATTTTGGAGTTCTCCGTTGTAGTTTGCCATGAAAAATGGAGTTCTCCGTTGGAGATGCCCTTAGGTTGAGTTCAATACTTGATCCCTTGGTGATTTGTTGTTCAACAAGTGCCTCATCGACTTCAATTGCCACCTATGATGAACAGACAAGAAACGGCAATATAGACACAACACGACACAGATACTGGATATGTTAATTATTGAAAATATATGACATGTATATTTTGAGATGACATTAGATGAAAATGAGACGCCGAGATGGCACAGAGATGTGATTGTGGGCATATAAATTGGTGGAATCAAACTTCAATGTTAAGATAGTCAAAGTTTAGAGTATAAGCATAAGGTGTCAAAAATTACTTTTTGCATAATTTCAATTCATGTTACCTTTAATTCATTCATTTCCTTTCAGCATATTCGATACTAATTTTATTTACACAAATTACGAATATCTAGTTTACCCTTCAAATATTCATTACCACACATCTATCTTACCATTCTTTATTTTTTTTTTTTATTGTTATATTTATTTATTACCAAGCATTCAAAGGAATACAACATAGTCAACATATCAGCAATTATAACATGAAGAAAATTAATAGTGCCATTTTAAACTTTGAATATAAAAACTAAGATATGAAACTTTTATCAATCAACAAATTATCAAATGTGCAGTGATTGACCCTAACTTATGGAAATAGCATAGTAATTAAATTCTAACATCTTAATTTATATAACAAATTAAGACAAGCACCATTTAAGACTTTCATAGCCTCCATTATAGACATTTGTGATGGCATATATCTAGACTTTAATGTAAGTCTCAATTTACAACATTATGATAGACTTTATAGCTTTGTGATAGCTACCAATCTTGAAAATTTTAAATATTAAATCTTTAGCAAAATGGTTAATAAATTCGACTCGACACTTAACAATCTCCCACCTGAAGGTTAAATTTTCAATGTACGGGCTTAGCAAGCATGTTTGAATACTTCACTTCTCAATGAATCAATCGTGAATGTTAAGAGAGGCTTCACAATACCTCAATCCATCAATGGCAAACTTGCCAAATTCTACCTTTTTATTATCTTGCTCAATTTAGAATTTCTCTATGTAGCATCTATATCATGCAATTCTTCCTTGTTCTTTGAAAGCTCTCATTTGACAAATACTTTATTTTGTAGTACTCTTCCAAAATCATCAATAAATTTCACAGCAACTCTCAATTTTCAAGTACTTAATGCCGTATACTTCATATCATTCTTACTTCCACGAGCTTCCCTCATAGTTATTGAATCCAACAAATCAGCATGTGACATTACATTCTAGAACACAAAGTTCATTAATTATATTCAAGTTTGAAACAACAAATGCACCATAATAAATATTATGCCAAACTCTAATCAATGATATCAATACACCACCACGTGCCTTTAACTTCACAATACAAGAACCTCCAATTTGCACATTCCCATTTCACATGTAAACACAACCACCAAAACTCAAGTTATACATGAAAAATACATCTAAATTAAAATATATGTGACTAAAACAAATTGAGTCCATAATCCAATACTTTTTTTCTTTTTATTATCAACCACCAAAAGAACACCAATTTCATAAACAATAAAATTTGCAACTATGCTTGCATCAATTGACTTATCCTTTTTGGGGTTTTCATCTTCTTCTCTCTCTATTATTCAAAATAAAATAATTATTTTTATATACCCTTTCTTCTTACAATAAAAGCAAATAATATCTTTGAATTTCTTATGAGATTTACATTCCAACATGATTAGAAAAGAGCCTTCGCACATAGGATCTCCCTCTAATGTAAACCTTTAGTTGGTTTATCACTTACCTCAAATTTAAAAATCACATCTTTCATAAGAAATGTATTCTTGACATACTCTAAGATTATTGTATCTCAACGAATATAGCATTATATTTTGAAAGAACCTATGAGATAGATATAAAGAGCATAATAAAGAGAATTCGATTGTTTCTTTTTTTTTTTACCTCAGGCACAAGGGCCTGTATGTATGGTTGTCCTCAGTATACATATAAAGAGAATTCAAATAATTCCTACTTGTTATATGTATGTTACAACCAATTTCAGATGGAGAATGATCAATGCATTTTTTAGTGTCATTTAGAAAATGTCTTTAGTAAATTCTATCTTGTTACCCTTCATTCACATATAGCTTCTAAAAGTTATGATAACTCCCAATGATAACTGATACTGAGACGGAGATATTTCATATGTTCTACGTTCAATCCAGTAAACTGTAATATTAAAAATGCTCAAAGGTTTATATTAGGGCATCTCCAACTGAAAACCCCATTTTTCGCTCCAAAATGCAATAAAATTTTAAAATACAGTAATTCATCTCCAATCTAACATCATTTTTTCTTCTTTTGCGCGCTTCCTTCGAAGGTAATCATCTTTGGCGCACTTTTCTCCTCTTTCCTGCATTTCTTTGGCAAATCCTGCAGCAATTTTTGGCGTAGGTGAACAGTCCGACTCCAATATTAGCGTCGCACTGTTTACCTGGGGGAATTTAGCATGCGATTTGGAGTTCGAATTGTCGTCTCCCATTTGCTCCATTCGAACTTCAAATCGTATGCCAAATTCCGGTAGGTCAAAAGTGCAACGTTAATATTGGCGTCCACCCAAAAAAATTAGGAGAAAGGCGTGCCAAGATGGTTACCTCCTCAGGAAGCGCGCGAAAGAAGAAGAAATGTCGTTCGATCGGAAACGAATGATTGCATTTTGAAGTTTTAGTGCATTTTGAACTAGAAAATGAGTTTTACAGTATGGCATCTCCAATCGAAAATCCCATTTTCACTCCAAAATGCAGTGAAACTAAAAAGTGTTGTGATTCATCTCCAATCGAACTCCATTTTGGACCCTTTAACCGTATTTCTCCTCTTTGGGGCGTTTCTTCGACAAATTCGATAGAGACAAAAAAATAGCAAAGGTTGGCGTTGCGCTGCCAAATAGCGGAAGTTTTAATGTTCGGCTTGAGCTCGGGAGGGTTTAGGGACGAGAAGGTCTTAGCAAACAACCGAACACATCCTCATTAAAGAAAAATGACCCAAAAAACACAACAGTCTCTTGGATTAAACGAACACACACAAACAAACATCTACAAGCTGCGAACTACAAAGGAATGTTTTATTTAGCAGGAATCAAACATCGGTAAGAAACAACAGCAAACATATAACGGGCACTTAAAAAAAAGAACAATGCAGGAATACGATTGCCAAGACTGACGGAGAAAGATTGCCAGGGTCGATTGTTACTATTTATTCGTATACACAACCAAGTATGTTATACAAGCACGTAACATGATTCTGCTCGCTCGCTCGCTAGAGATTCATAAGGCTTATCAGACCTATCATGGGTAAATTCCAGTAGACGGAATCTAACCTTATGTGGTCAGAGCTTGCTAGAGATGGGGATGGCACGGGGCTTCAGCTTCGCCGGGTGCACCTCCTTGGGAGCAACAACAGTGACCACGCCATTCTCCACCTGCGCACGAATCTGATCACCCTTAATGCCATCCGGAAGCCCGAAGCGCCGTGAGAACTCCTCCTTCTCCGCCCTCTCAGCCACATGCCATAGTGCGTCCTTCTCCGCCGCCGACGCGGAGGAGGCCGGCTCGCCCTTCACGTGTAGTACGTTGCCTTCTTCAAGCTGCAACTTGATTTCCTCCCGCCCAAATCCTAGAAAACGAAGAGCAGGTTAGGTTTTTATTTTTATTTTTTTACCTAGTAATACGAGGAGGGTGATTCGAGTCGAATACCAGGAACATCAACGCGAATGATGTGAGCTGATGGGGTTTCGAGCCAATCGGCCGCCGGCAATCCGGATCGCCGGAGGGAAGCGGGGCTCAAAAGCAAACGCCGGAAGGGATCAGCGAAGAGAACGCCTGCCATCCTCTGCCTTTTCTTTCTCAAACTCGCATATTTAAGGTGCGGACACAAGATGATTCGAGGGCAGAATTTTGGACAGATAGGAATGATCACTAGTTCATGGGGACATGAAGATTCCAGTACGAGCTCGGATCGGACTGCGTGGAAGCCAGAAGAGTGTGCAAAGTGCGGAGCAGAACATTCTGGAAGGTAACGGGCTCGGTTAATAAAATAAATTTTTTAGAGGTAATAATATTATTTTTTGATGAATTTATTTCATGCCACGTAATCATTTTAATTTATCAAAATATGTAAATCTCTATTTTTTAAAAATTAAAATTTCATCATTCCACATTTTAACATTCTTAACTGTGAAGTTCAATATAAAAAATCAATAAATACGATAAATATATATATTAATATTTGCGATATGCCATAAAAAATAGTCTTGATCGAGCACGAATTTGAATGCATATTTGAATCTGAAATATTCAGAATTTAATTCATGAGCTTCGAAACTCCAATTTCAGCAAACTCATAGTCAAATTGATCTAGAGCCTAACGACACCAATACCGGTTCAACTCACGCCCAAATGAACTCAAATTAATGGTTTGATACATATTTCGAAGCTACATAGCATTATTGTACGACATGCTTATAATCAAATTGAACGGCTCGAAGAGACAAATCCAATGATAATATTAATTCAGATATCATTAAAGCACTTAAATATAAAGCGAACGTTTTATAATCGAGAGAATCAATATAAGTCGTCTGATAGAACACTCCAAAATTGCTCTAAATTTTCTCCATATTTATATAGTATGTCACTCCAAAAACTTTATAAACAAACCTTTTTTCTCAACATGAAGGAAACTTTTTTAGGGGAACTTTGAAGACGTGGACATCAGGCTAGAGATTCAAGAGAGCATTAGAGCTTAAAAAATCTTAGAGCTCCACTCGAGCACCACCATTGGCAAATACCGATCGTCTGGCAATTGTGATGGACTTTCACATGCCTATCGTCATAGAACATCAATATGTTTGTCATCATCGGGCCTTTGATTGACCATTTTCGTTGGAACTCCATCCGACAACCGTCATTGGACCTCAACCTAGCCGCCATAGCTAGACCTCCACCACACTATTACCAAAGAAACTTCATCTAATTGTCACCATCAGACATCCATTACATCACCGATCACGGTCCCTATGATCTCAATCGGCCAACTATGATCCCTCTAACTATCTTTGCTCGACTATAGTACCTTTGACCTCCGTCACTTGCCGACTACGGTTCCTTCGACTCTATTGCTCGTAAACCATGGTCCTCGGACCATTGCCGCCCAACTACAGTCCCTTAGACTTCACTCGCCCTGTTATGGTCTCTCCGACCTCGGTCTCCAGTCAACTATGGTTCTCTCGACCTCAATCTCTATGTCCCTCCTACATTCGTTACTCGATTATGGTTCCTCTGACTTCCGTCACCCGACTACGATCCTTCCAACCTCCATCATCCACTAATTACAATCCTTAGACCATTATTACCCGACTATGAACCTTCCAACCTTCGATATTTTTTATGAATATGGTCCCTAAATCCATTGTCACCCAACAATATTCACTTCATCCTTTGTCACCCGCTGACTATAATCCCTCTTGACTATATTACTCATTGCCTAAGGTTCTTTTAACCTATATTTCTTGCTAACTATGGTTCGTAGACCACGATCAATCGACTGAAGTCCTTAACCCTCCCCCCTGGGTCGTCCGACTATGGTCCGTCTGACCATTATCTCCAACTATAGTTCCTTCAACCTTTATCAATCGACTACGATTTGGACCTCCGTCGCCTGATTATAGTCCCTCCAATTCCCCTAGCCCGACTATGATCCTTCTGAACTTAATAGTCTGTCGACTACAGTTAGTAGACTATCGTCGCCCACTGACTATGATCCTCAAACCCTCGTTGCTTGACTACGGTCCCTCCAACCACCATCGTCTGATTATGTGTAAAACCCTTAAAAAGCTGATTTTTTTAGTGTAGTTCCTGAGTATTGTATATGAACTTTTGAGATATGAATTGACTTGTTATTGATGTTTTTAATTTATAGACTTTTGTTTAGACGGTGATTAATTGGATAATTGTAGATAACTCTGGTAAATGGCCAGTTAATTGACATTCTTTCCAAGTTAGATCTTGGGGCGTGACATTATGTGCTACACAGCATAATCTAATTTAAAAAAATCATTTCTTTTTTATCTTTTAATAATAACAGCTAGAGGTCCATAACCATCTAATTTCTTTCAATAATATAAACATTAATGGAAATAAATCTATAGATATATATGGGTCACAGGTCGGGTTCAGGTCAACCCGACTTGATACGGATTTTTGATTTGACATGAAGGAACGTTGTTGAGTTCCCGTCACTACTTTTAGTTCCGGCGAGGCGGCCAGCTATCCAGCTATCGCGACAATCGATTTGACAAGAAATAACATCGTCGGAGGAAGATAAGGAGCTCCCGTTGTCGGAGAAATATAATGCAGCAGTAGCGACGGGCGGGCACTCTGGCCAGGCACCTGACAAAGTGACACACTTAGGCTCTAAGCGACTTGACGCGTTGTAAACTCACAGTAATATGTCATTTCGCTGGCAGGGCAGGCACACCATGCAGCAAATACGGGCAGAGCAATTTCCGGGTCAATTCCAGGTCGAGTTCAGATTTTTAGGTCAACCTGAACCCGACCCAAAACTCAAATCCAGACAGATTTTTGAACCCGAACCCAACCCATTTGTTATTCGGGTCGACCCGAACACGGATTTTTCCAAGTCGGGTTCGGGTCGTGTCAAAATTTAACACCCTAACTACAAAAGGATATATATATATATACTCATTGCTCCAAAAATCATGTATAATAGTTAGGAGATATACAAAATCAATAAACCATCTCTCCATTCCTGACTACAAAAGGATGTCTAAAAATAAAAAGAAAATAAAATAGTAATAAAACCTAAAAAATTTTGTAACTAATTAGTCTCACACTCTTGATCCTCTTCCCTAACCTTAAATCATTTAAATCAACTATAATGAGATAAAAATTTTAATAGGTCACTACAATCTTACAACTGAACTTGAAGCACGGTAAGAAAATAATATACATATAATCATTCAGTTCATAATAGTAACAATCAACATGATTATGAATATGTGGATAAATAATAAAACATATACTATGAAATAAAATCTGTAAACTGATAAACCAGTACATTATGGAAGTCGATAAGACAGTACGTTATGCAAACAATGAGATATGTAAACTAGTAAACCAACATGACTCATCGAATAATAAAGTAGTAAATAATCATTCGTAAATCATATGTTATAATAATGTTATCTAGTCAATAAAGAAATAATATGAATTAGAAACACTAAAGCATCTATGAAGATTGTCATAATCCATAACAAGACATCACTATTAACTCAATATACACAATGTTTAATTATTTAATAACTTATATCATATGCTCAATAACTATATATTATGCTCCGTGATAGTAAGTCAGCAAATAGTAAATCAATAGCAGTAACAATAACATTCAACCAATGGCAATAAACCAATAATAATAATAATAGTGGATCGGTAACATTATCAATATCTATAAAATATGTAGTAGTAATAGTAAAATAATATGGTAACCATAAATCAGTATCATGATAGTAAATTAGTAATCACACTAAGTAAAAAGCTATGGCTTACATGATTTTTTTCCAGTAATCAATAAATCAACAATCATTAACTCAATAAACAAAGTAGTTACTTTTTGGTTGTCGGTACAATAATCATCTTATTGTAACTCTCAATTAGTAAATCATGTGAATAAATATATAATAATACCAAGCCACTATATTTAAACGAAAGCTTATCGGCCTAATATCCTGCATAGGTCAGCTAGTCTCCAAGCAACGTCAGTGATTAACCAACCTTTACTTATTTTCACACACATTATTATTCAAAATAATATAAGCAATATTGATCAGTTATCATTTAACCACTTACTAGTATTCATTTACTATGCATGCAATATCAATATAATAAGATTAAAATATAAAAAAATCACTATTCTTATTAAATCATACAAAATGCAACAACTACACTTTTATTGATGAAATTATGAAATCAATAAGTTAAAATGTTTAGAATAATAAGTATTGTAACATATAAAAAGTTATAAGGTAGAAGTTCACTAAATCAGGAGAAATATAATTAAAATTAATTTTAGAGAAATTAAACGTTGAAAATAAAATCTTTGAAAATAAAAATAGAAAAGAAGTCACCTATAGTCTAAAGAGTTTTTATAAAAGCAATGAATTGAACTAGTAGTCAAAAACCTAATTTTCTTTTTCCTCCTTCCTCCTTTTCCCTTCTCTTCTTATCTTCAATGGCAAGCTACGGTGTGAAAGAGTAAGGGAGCAATGTGGAAAGAAATATATATATATATATATATATATATATATATATAATCTCATTTCAGTGCTCAATACCACGTCGCCATGACCTAGCATCGTTACGATGCATATCAGAATTATTGTAGAACAAAGCCTTTAATACCGCGGTGACAATTTTTGGCGCCGCTACACTTTCAAGAACAGTACTATAATGCTCCAATTCAAATAGAAATTTATTATTATTATTGTTATTTTAAAATATTTTCTAGATTTTGCAGGTTGTTACACTATGACCCCTATGACCTTTGTCGCCCTACTACAAATCCCCGGACCTTCTTCGCCTGACTATGGTCCTTAGAAAATTATTACCCGACTATATTCCCTTCGACCTAACTCACTCGCTAAGGTCCATCCAACCTTCATTGCTCGCTTTTTACAATCCTTCCGACCTCAGTCACTCGACTACGGTCCATCTGATCTCTGTTGCCTAACATCGGTCCATCTGACCTCTGTCACCGGACTTCGATCCCTCTAACCTCCTTTGCCCAACTATGATCCTTCCTATCTCAGTCACCTTACTATAGTCCCTCTAACCTCCATTGCCCGACTACAGTGCCAATGACTTATGTCGCCCAACTACGATCATGCCAATCAAATGAACAATCTAAAAATCTCATATAATAATCTCTTATATCATTTGATTCTTCCAACTCCA